ATTTGCATTCGAGTATATACATTTATTAACGCATCTCGGCCTTGTCCTATGTGGCCCCCTTGGGATGTAATAAAAAAGGTAAATCTATGGCATAGAGAAACTTGGAAAGAAAATATTGGGATTGACAACGGTCCCAACCGAAGTAGAAGGGTAGCAAGAAAGTGCAGAATTTAAGATGAGAGGAAAGGCTAATTTACGACAGAACCACCATGGGAATCCCACGCATCGTGCAAGTACATAAGGATAATCATTAGGGTTACTGGATGCGGAGGGGAAACGAGAGGAGAAGGTAGCGTTGGAACATCTATATGAAACGAATCCCCGGGAAGGGACTGTCGTTTAATCTAGAGTTGGGGAGACGGGGCGTTCCCCATTTCTTGGATTTTAATGACATTCATTATACTCAGTCTTGGTGTCCTGGACAGGTCGTCCATGCAAATAATTCCCTTGTTCCATGGGATCCATTGGCTTTCGACAGGACCTCCCGTTTCAGGCATGCTGAGGTGGATGATTGGTTCAATCTTCGAAGCCAATTACCAAAACAAATCAATAATAATAATCAAAATATATCACTTCAATCCACTCCTTCCAATAGGGGGGGGGTTTTTTTTTTTTCTTTCTTCTCACAATGAAATGGGGAACGGTCGGAGTGAGCAACGAGTGAGGGAGGTTTCTCATTAGCCATTGTGAATAGATTACCTTCCAGGTTAAGCCGAATCGAGCACTTGCAAACGAACTGGCCGCTCCACTTCGTGCTTCCTTTCTCGGCCCCGAAGCTCAAGGCATCAATATTTTTTTTGTTGGTGGACTTCGTTTGACTTTGGACTTCTTAGTCTGTGCGGAAAATTGACCCGTGTGTCTCATCAGTCGATCCTGGAATAGTAGCCGATGTCTTACTTGCTCGTCTATACCAATGGATATCGTTTTTCGAATGGATAGGTAGATATCTTGATATCTATGTACTGGCAGTACCAGCCATCTATCATGTCGGTCGGACCGACCCGCCCAGAAATCGATAGATGGTATGCATTGCTTACTTGCTTTGTTGGCTCGGAGAATTTGGCCCGAAGGCTCTCGATTGGCGATAAGAACGCCTGGACTCGTCGTCATCAACAGCGCCAGTCCTACGCAATGATGCTCTAGTGGCCGGCGCCAGTCCGTTGATCCACTTCGCTCACGCTTCGGGACCAGGGTGTTATCCGCTTTGGGACACGTCTCGGCCTCCAGCTAAGCTTCCTGCATACGTATATAGATGCCAGTCCATATCTGGCAGTTTAGTATCGAATCTGTGCTCGATGAATTCGGCAAATCCTCGCTTCAGGCAGACTATTTACGCTCCTGAGGCACTCTTGCTCTTTCCTCTTCGAGCTAGTGTTCTACGGACACTTGTCCTGTTCTGGTAAGTGGCTGTTTTCCTCTTTTGGGGCGGTTCCCTCTTTGGGAGATCCGGGGGTTTGTGATTTTTGATTCTTAATTATTTTTTATTATTTTTTATTTTTTTTGTTTTTTTAATTATTATTATTTTTTGGTTGATCACCTCCTTCTTGGATCTCGACCTCTACTACCTGTACTGCCCCCCATTCTGTTCTACCACATCCCCTCTCTTCCTTCTTCTCTCTCTCTCTCTCTCTCTCTCTCTCTTGCTTTCCCGATATGCCTTGGGTATACTACGACCACTTCTCTTCCGTCTCCGCATCGCTCTTCCTCCTCCTCATGCATTGATTGCGCAATGGGGCTGTAACCTGGTCTCTCTGTGCTACTTTCTATGTACTATAGTATACACCACCTTCTCCACCGTGGATCACCATTCCTTGGACCTGTCTTTGCTCGGGCATCCCTCCGATTCCTAATCGAGTATGCTACTCACATTGAAGCCGTCTTCTCAGAACGGGATCAAAGGCCCTCATGACTACGCTATCGTTCGTCAGTCTATCCCAACTCCTCGGTCCTCTCCGCCCTCCGCACCTGATTCCGCCGCGGCTATTGTAGCCTCCAAAAGACTCTCCGCGGACCACTCCATGGAGCTTCTCGTGGTGGCTTGCCACCTCCTTCGACGCTGGCATTGCCGCCGCCGGATATCGGCTTCTCCGCTATGAATTCCGTGAATCAACCACTGCCACGCCCTCCGGCGCAACGGCAGAGCATCGATGATACCAGTCAGTACTGGCATGCGAAGGCCGAGGAAGATCGGAGAAAGCAAGAGGAAGAACGAACCCGCCAGGAATCGCTGCGTTTAGAACAGCGGAAGATCGAACAGAGTATGCTTCGGGATTCCTTGCAAGCCGGCGTACCGCCTCATATGATTCCGCTCATCTTTGCGGGTATCAGCCAGAATGGCGTCCCGCAATCAGTCATTGAATGGACTCAGCAACATATGACACAGGTGCCGGCCGGTCCTCGTGCGCCGCCACCTTCGGCACCGGCTCTATCTCATTCGACCCAGCGGCGCAGTCTGCATGCCCGCGGGGAGTCTCGCTCGATTCCTCCTGGTCCGTATGCGGCTCCACCAACGCAACAGGTCGTACCTCCCCCGGGGATCCTTTTATCACAACCTCTTCCCCCTTCGGGGCCACAGCCCGCTCCGCAGCCACTCAGCCGGTCTCCATTACCCAATGGGCCAGCGGATCCCCGGGGTCCGCCCATGCCTCGACCCAATCCTGGTGATCCGCTGGCCCAACAGCAACCTCCGATTAACTTGAGCAACGTTCATTATGCTCCAGGGTCATCTATCCCGCATATTCAGCATGTCGGGAGCAAGCCGGATAGCCACAACCGACAATCCCCGTCCCTGTATTTTCATCACTGGGTCCCTCCAAGTCAGTCCCATCCGAATACGCCTTCCGGCAGAATCCGACAAGAATCGCCCTTTGCATTGCAGACTTCTCGTCGCCCAGAGTATCCAAGCCCCCCGGGGCGGAAAAGAAAAGCTACCGGTCCTCACCAGCCGGCTCCTTTCCCGTCATCACGCCCGTCTGAAACAATTCCCGGTACTTCTCACGTCTCCCGACCAGGCTCCCCATTGGGGTCAGTCCCGCATGCCGAACCTTCAGTTCATAGCCGTCAGCACAGCGGCGCCTCCGCCATGTATGAGCCCCGTGGCCTAAGGCAGTCAGGTTTTGAACGCGGCAGCAGAGCTGCGAGCCCAGCTCATCATGCGCAGCTTGTGATGCCCCCCACTGAAGACCGGGGTTCAAGGAAGGAATATGACCGAGGAGACGTTCCAGAATGTCGGGGCGAGCTGGCCCCAACGGAGAGTAACGTGCAGTACCCACCTACAGCGTCCCAGCTACAGTATTCTTCGAGTATCGGGACTGCGCCCCCTGACTCGGATTTGGACAGCAGTCCCGGGCCTTCTCCGACTTCAGGGATACCTCGGGCACCCACCCGGCCCGGTGACCATGGTGCTGCGCCCCCAAGGTAATCAATCACTTGTGGGGTTACACAAACAATCGTCTATTCTATACATATACGTTCATGTCGTCCCCACAGAAATTGGATTGGTCGACGAAATAGATGACTTACGAAGCACTCTAGCAAAAGCATGTTCTTGTTTTCAACCAGCTCCTCTTCCCTCTGAATCTGACTCTCCTTTATATTCTCTTTGCCCTCTACCAAGCCATCCTACCTTCTACAGTGATCTCATATGTACACCACTCACACCTCCCGACTGGCTCGCGGAGATCATCTACATATGACATATTATGTCCTGTATCTATTGGATTTGTTACTAGCACCTGAGGTGCTGTGCTAGATGCTCAAGAAAGCAAGAAAAAAAATAAATATTCCATCAACAATATCACCCACAAATTTGACCGTTCTAGAATTCTTCTAGAACCGAAATTTCTAGGTTTTTAGGTAATGTATTCCTGAAAGCTCCGTAAGGCCCAAGCGTCTTTGACAAATACATACTACTCTATCTCAGGGGTGACATTCCGTACTACTTGATACGTACTATTTTCCTAGCTCCCCACTCTTTCCATAGAATGCAAAACTGGTCCTTCAATATTTTTTCATTGTTTTCCTTTCCTTCTAATCCCCTTGATTCGGGAACAAAAGAGAAGGATAGATACACAGACAGATAGACATGAAATTGTTTAGACACACACCGTGGTGGACAAAAGGGAAGGGGTATCAGGGATAACAGTGTTGTTCTTGCTGTGACTTTGATATATAGGACAAAAAGAAAAGGGGAAAAAATAGAGAGAGAGAAAGAAGGACAGATACAGACGTCAATTGAGAATAACAGGCAAACAATGAATGGTAGGACAAGTACATGCCGTGCAGGAAGTGTAATGCGAAGATGATAACATAATGACAAAATGAGACTTGTAAATGAGTAGACTGCATTAATGCGGAAACGAGTTGTGTATGCAATCGGAAGCGAGGGTCTTGGTCTTGGTCTTGGTTGTGGGTTTTAATGAGTGAGGGACAAACAAGGGTCGATCGATCGACCGTGAAGGAGTGCTCTGGGTCGCGTGACGGCTGGTGTATTGGTCCGAATGTACAGTCTCGCGGTATACTGGATTAGATCTTTTTCTTGCTGCGATTGGATTAGGAGAAGGGGACCGGGGATGGGACTCGAGGGGGAGATATTAGGTGCGTAGTGTGATAGAGTGAGTCCCTGTTGGAGGGCTAAGACATGGTCCATGTCTTGGTTTTAGCTGTATCGTATGTGCAGCCGGTCCCTCGTGTAGAATCATACGACTGCGAAGCCGTGCGGAAGTCGTGATGTGAAGGCCATTAGAAGCTGTATTAGGGTAAGGAAGGCGTTCGTGGACAAAAGAAGGTCGACTTTTGTCCGAGATCATCAATAATCGTGCGAGTCAAATCGTCCATCAGTGGTTTTGCTTGTCGAAGCTGGTATAGCCTCGGGATAATTAGGTATTATAATGGAGGGCCGTAAAAAAAAAGTATGGAAGGTAGAAGGCGTTTCTACCATGTCATCACATCGCACATCACGTCGCAACATCATCGAAACCTTGAATGTTTGAAACCCGGCCTTAGACAAGGGCCTTTTTCCGACGGTGAACTTTCCATTCTGCTTTTGCGACACGCATGAATAGTTCAACGTCCTTTATCGGAACCCAGCTGGTGAGCACCTTCATGGCGTTCTCAAAATCTGATTCGAGGATAATTTCCCGCATACCATCAATAAGAGCCGCCGATGTTGCATGGAGGACATCCAAGCCCTTGCCAAAGGCGCTTGCGTCGGGGCCCTCGGTCTTGACGCCTGGGCCAGTTGGATCCTCAGCGTCACCGAGGAGCATAAAGACATCCCACACACGCAACTGGGCTGGGAATGGGATAGAGTAATTGAAGAGAGTGAGGTACCAACGTGTTCCGTACGCAGTAGGCGGGATTCCGAGCTCATTTAGTTTCATGGCGACCTCTCCTCCCTCCAGCCATCCCCGTTCAAAGTCAGCCAGGGCCTCCATCAGGCCTTCGAAGCCTGACCGGTATAGCTGCTCCAGCCCTCGTAGCTGCCATAGACGGACGAGCATGATAAAGGCATGTTCCTCATCATAGTAAGCAAGAAGGGTTGCAGCAAGGGCTGCCATGCCCTGAACATAGCCTGTATCTGGGAAATACAAAGACATGGCATGTAGCACGCGGAACAGCAGGCGTTGGCCGCCACGATACCGCCGACGAAACATGATATGGCTAGTGATGGTCCTTGGAACATCGATATCGATCTGTACGTCGTCGGGTGACGATACGAACTGGTACTCATGGTAAGCGTCAATGAGCTCCTCCACGGTAGGACTATCGCTGCGCTTTTTGGCGCTCGCCTCTAGAAAGGAGTACCAGGCAGTCGATCTCCATCGGTCTGGTATGCCTTTCCACGTCCTCTCAATAAGCTTGGAGCTTTTTGTATCGAACTCGAATGTCATGCCACCACCAGCTCTGCTATTCTTTGTCTGCCTCGCCATCTTCGTCCATTTGTCTTCCCTTCGCCACTCCCTCTTCTTGGCCGCACGCACAGCAGCTGTGTTTACCCTGTCTCCGTTGACATCAACTGGGTGTGTGAGCATGTCGGCGGCTTCATCTTTAAATCGGCGATCGCGATTGTGAGGAAGATGATTTGTCGCTTGACGAAATCTTGAAGCTGACCGTCGCACTGGCGAACTATACGCGCTCTGTGACGACGAAGGGCGGACTGCTGGCGCAGAAATTTTGCGGTTCGGAGACCGACCCGCAAAGGAGCGGTTACTCCCCAGAGCAGACGGAGGTCGAATGGAATATTTCCGACGGGGGCTTTCTGAGGCAAGGAGCAGACTAGTAGATACCCGTTGAATCGGACTAGGCTCCGTACCATCATTGGAGTTGCTCGTAGGAGAGCGAATAAAACCATATCTATCCACATCTCCTGCTTTAATATTGTGCCAATACTCAATTCCGCCAGCTAGCTCGTTGGGCTCTTTCTTGATGCTCGGGGCAGGCTCGGGATCAACTGAGGATACTATGCTCTTGGTTTCCGTGCCAGACACACTGGCGCCTGAAAAGCGAGAAGTCTCCTCACTTGTCGGGCCGGTCTCTTCCCAGAGCACACCGTTCTCCACAGCCAAGGCCTTCGCGACTTCCGAGTCTGTCACATTCTCATCACCCTTTTCATACATCAGCCTGACCCGACGAGATAGCATATCCTCGTCTGCGGAAATAACTCTGCTGGGCATAGCGCTTCGCCTGGCACGAAGCGATGGTGGCAGTTTTGAACGCCGTACAGGGGCGTCTAAGAGTTCCACCTCAGCGTCATTCTGCTCTGTTGGAGCAGTGGATGGAGGTACCGGGCCCTTCTCGATCTCTCCCTGGCCGCCATCCTGGTCTAGCTGTTTCAGCCGTTGCCTTGCTTCCTCTTTGATGAGACTCCCGCGCTTGGAGAACCTCATAGATTGCGGTGCAAGGCCGTCGAAAGACGAATTGGGGATATCCAAGGACAGTCCGTTGAAGGGAGCTTCTATGGGAGGAACAGGTGGTGGCGAGTCCGAATCTCTTTCCAACTCTGCAGACTTCTTGCCCCATAGTCCGCTGAATTTACGCTCCGACCACCGAGAACCAGGGCGCGACCCTGGGCGAGAGCTCGGGCGAGATCCAGCGTCATTGACGACAATGCTAGGGATGGAGCGCAATGAGCGCAGGCTGACGACCGATTTCGCAGCATCTGGCCCTAGCATTCTTCCGTCTTTCGTTTGCGGCCGTTCATTTCTATGCGACGAGCGTGGAGGGCGTGACGGGTCTCCGGGATAACTCGACGGTACGCTAGCTGTAAGTGATTTCTTTCCGGATCGCAATGGGTGATCGACTGGGGTAGGCAACGAGGCAGATCTGACAGCCAAGGGGGCTTCTGCGGCGACGGTTTCTTCGTAGGGAACGGCGTGAATGGTCGAGCTAGACTCCGACATCACGGCGCCAGGCAACGAAGCGGATCGCTTATCCTCCACCATTATCCTGGCATGACTTGATGTGTCTTTATCCTCGTGACCACATTGATTTATGGACTCTGTTCCCTTCAACTTTTACCCTGGGAAGGCGGACGGGGACGAACGGTTGGTTTTCAAGGGAGGGAGGGAGGCGGGGGGGGGAGGAGCTTGAAGGAGGCGAAGGAATGGACTATTCCACGAAGAATCCCGCGCCGGAGATCACCGTTGGCAGTTCAATGGAGTGGTCAAGAAAGTATAAAGGAAGGACACTAGTGAAAGTACATTTCTTGCGCCGTTGAACATGACCGTCCCCGACAACGCGATTCAGATTCCCAATAGGAGACAGAGAGAGAGAGAGAGAGAGAGAGGAGGCGTTCAAGAAGTTTTGAATTGGGTCGCCATTGACCTGCGGCTCCTCCTCCTCCTTGATTTTGCTTGGCGCGAACGAACGGACAAGCTTTCTTCGTAACCCTAATTCCCTGGCACAGGATCGGAAATCATCTCCAAATGCTTCAGGAACAGGAGTAAGGACGGAGCACCTAGTGTTCGCCTCGAAATTAATACTGTCCCATGTCCCGGCTCCGATTCCAAATCATATCTACGGAACTGAAGCGCTGTCTCTCGTTGAAGCGCAAGAAGCCTTCAAGCAGGGATCGCAAAGGGGGGGCGCTTTGGCGCTCCACACGGGAAGGTTTCCAGATACTAGACTTAATTTTAGGCCACGCAGTTGTGGATCTGGTCATGTTGCAGACTTGCGGATATTATTGATAATAATAGCAGTGGTTGTCGTGGGAGCCATTCAACGGATATCCACCCTCGGGAAGGATTCTTGCGTGGCATTTGAGCGACAACGAAAAGAAACCAATCACAAATAGCAAATCGAGATATGATTATAAACTAGAAAATAAAACTTACATTGTAGTATGGTGTCGAGGAACAGATCAAACCGAGTTCCTTTATTTTATTGTGACTTGGTTTGGTTTTTTGTCTTTCCCTTTTTGGTTGTTTAATTGATTTCATTTCATTTGGCTTTGACGTACCCCTTTCGTGCAGATTTGGCGGCATTGAAATGTTGATCAACTCGACCGGCAACCCAAGATGGTAGGGTAGAATGGCAACAAAGGAAGGTCACCACATCAACTATGTTGGGTATTATCCCTTGTTTGTGTGGCTTCAGAATGAAAGAGTTTAAACCCCGAACTATTGCTAATTAACAGTCAATTCCTCACTGTCAGCTGCTTCTTCTTCCCTTGATGACGCGGATCCACTCCTGGGACTATGAGTATCTACATCCGATATAAATGCAAGGTTTGAATACCTGCCCTGTTTGCTTTTTTTTAATGGTGAAATTCTTTTCTTTCTTGCTTCGTTGTTGTTTGTTTTCTATTCCCCGTGTCGTCTCTATAAGCCCTGATTGCTAAAAACGCCCAGAGTAATGCCATTACTCCCACCCCCCAAATCGCCAATAATACTGCAACTCCATGAAGGCCAGATACCAGCAGGCCATCATGCAAACGGGGAATAGGCAGAATGTACAGGCCAGCGTACATTGTCCTGCTGCGCTAGAGCCCCAAGTGGTAGTCAAAAGAGGAGGGGCAGAAGAAATGAATGCGAAGGAAGCCTCAACTCGTACATACTCGTAGTCACATTGCGACTAAGCCACAGCGGCCGTATTGATACCCGGCCGAGATGGTTCGCGCGCTGAGCGGGCCGGATCAATAGGTTCTTTGGGTAGAAGTTCAATTTGGCGGACCAAGAAGCTTTTCTCATCAGTAAACTGATCATCATCGGTGCGATCCTCCAAGAATCTAGGCAAGAATTTCAGAAGCCGGTCTCGATTGTTGATCAGAATGCGTTGCACCGCCACGGACTTATTCGGATTTGCGACAAACACCTGATTCCCCATCAGAACACCGCCACTCAAATTCACAAAATTACTAGTCACATACCTTAAACACGTGGAACCCCTCATATTGAACCATTTTCCGGTCATCTCGTAATAACTTCATGCAAAGCTTGAGATTTTCCCCGCTCTCAACGTACGCCATCATCACATTATAGTTGGCACGGTCCAGCAGAATTTCCCCAAGGAGTTTGATGCTCTGTCGCTTGGTGACGTACGAGTCAGACTGAACGAGTACACTGTTGAATTTATCAAAGAAACTGTCAAAATTCGTTGCCAAATATCCTGTCACTAAGGATTTGTGTCGAGTCAAAATTTCCTAGAGCGATTGTTATCCCACTGCAGCCAAAGTAGTCATGGAAAAAAGGGCAGCTTACTCTGAAAGTTGTGAAAGCATCCGCACTTAACTCGAAGGTCCCTCTATCTATCCAGTGGAAAAAATTCCAAAAAATCCCATTTCCGGTTTGTGGAACACCGGGCTGGACTTCGCTGAGTCTGATGGCCGGCTCCCCATCATCTGACTGGTCATATAGGATGATCGCCGCAATGACGTCAAATTTCAACGCTTCCCTCAGAATGGTGCCACACGGCATTGCGCTTTGACTGTGTTCATAGCCCTTACATAGCTCGATAATGACCTCTGGTCGGTTGTGGACAATATAGGAAATAACCGGCGGATCGGCCTGGTTTGGATTGCCGGGCTTGAAACGAAGAATATGCGAAAATATGGTCTGGGTGTCCTTTCGGGCTTCAAAGGGTAAAATATAGAGGCTTCTCGCAAGTTCGTATAGTAAATCTTCATGGAGAGTAGCCTGAACCAACGTGTGCACTTGTTCGGGAGACACTTCGATTTCTGTCGGCAGCTTGCATTAGCGAGTCCTAACCTTTTCCTGGGCAATTATTGCTGCATCCTCGGACAAACTTACCTTGAGTTCCTTGGACAATCAATTTCATCTGGCTAAGTTGTTTAGCCAGCTCATCTTCCACCTATTTGGCATTGAACGTCAGTGAGTTTAGGGTCATGTTCACAGTCTGCTAGAGACAAACACAATGAGGTAGAATAGAAAAATAACCAGCCAACCTTAGCAGTAGCAGGTGGAGCTTCACGCAGCCTCACCAACTGATCTTTGATTGATCGGACAATATCAGAAGGATGTCGGGATCGACCACGGTTGAAGAAGAAAGCCATTCTTAGAGCAGAAGGGCTAGCTCTCCGGATAAAAGTGAAGGATGGCAACCAACTAGCGCATGCAAGAAAGGTAGAACAACAGAATTGAGAGCCCTAATAATCAGGTCTTAATCTCAGAAGGCCGGAAGGTCTCTTGTTGTCGATGACGGATTTCTTGTGTTTACGGAGGAGAGAAGCAGCAAGGCGGTGATAGGTGATAATTGTTGGCGGGGGAGCTGAAAGCCTCAGGCGCTTATCGCAGTTCTGGGCCCGGTCATGTGGGTAAACAAAGTACCAAACTCTCCGGGCGGGGCAACCGATTTGCTTTGTCATTTTTTTTTTTGTTGGGTACAGAGGGGTCCTGGGTTTCCGCTTTTACAAACTCATGCCCTTATTCTGAGAACCTTCTCAGAGCGTAAATCCTTGCAGTTTGAATTGCGGTTCTTACAGTTTTAATAACCAATTAGAAATTGTGGTTCTCTTGCCTCAATCGAACTTTGCGGTTTTATTATTCTCACCAATTCACTTGTTTGCCTACCCCGCAATTGTCACCATGTCGGCTTCGATTCCCTCTGACCGTCCTCCAAAGGACGATGACTCCTGCTCTACACATTCTGAGGACTCTGACATCAGCAATGAGGAAGGATGGGAGGATGTTGAGCCTGACGATGAGACCCAGCCAGTGATTGGCCTGTTCTCCGAGAAGGTCTATCCCGATGTGCTTTCCATGCTACAGGAGACCAAGGACAAGTACAAGTTCGACCTGCGAAAGACACAAAAAGAGCTCGGTGTGTACCTAATCGATTGAATTTGTTTATACCGTTTGAGTATTTCTTCCGCTGCTCAGGCCCGGTTGATCTATGTTTGAACGATCATAATATGTTTTATGGGCTAACCTTTTCTCCTCTCTTTTTCGTTGCCTTGTGCTTTCAGATCTGGATTTCCTGGGTACTATCAAGCTGGTGAACTATATTCGCTCTCAAGTCAAAGCTGGAAATTTGTCTCCCGATGTGTCTTCCAAATCCAAATTCGAAGATGAGGTTTATCTGAAGCCCGTGCTTGAGGATGACGCCCTTCTGTATAGCTTGGACGACATTGAAGACCAAGACTCGGAGGTTCCCGGTGGTACTGAGGCAGAGAGACGTGTAACTGAACTTCAAGAGGACTTGGAGCGTCTACAGAGCCAGTTCTCTGAGTACAGGATTGCCGTCCAGAAGTCGTTGGAAGAGCAGTTGTCAAAGGAGGATGAAAAACTTACCTCGTCTGCTTCCTCTGCCCAACAATCTACTAGCAAAGCCGAAGCAATTGATTCAGACTACTTCTCATCCTATTCCTATAATGGTATGCTGACCCTTATACTTCGTGCAAATATTCCATGGATACGTTTGCTGACAGGATACTTTCTTAAAGGCATTCACGAATCTATGCTGAAAGACGCTATTCGTACCGATGGTTACCGCGACTTTATCTATGAGAACAAGCATCTGTTTAAGGATAAGGTTGTTCTGGACGTTGGATGTGGCACAGGAATCCTGTCAATGTTCTGCGCTAAAGCAGGTGCCCGGAAAGTCATTTCTGTGGACAACTCAAACATCATTGATAGGGCAAAGGAGATCATCCACGAGAATGGCTTCGGGGATGTGATAACGTAAGTAATTGTAGTACTCGTTCTACCACCTCGTTACTAACGCTTTGGCTTTCAGATGCATCCGCGGCAAGATTGAAGAAGTCACTCTGCCCGTTCCGCAGGTCGATATCATCGTGTCCGAATGGATGGGCTATTGTCTTTTGTTTGAAGCTATGTTTGATTCCGTCATCTATGCCAGGGATCGTTATCTGGCGCCCGGTGGATTGATGGTCCCGTCGCATGCTACACTGCGTATTGCTCCTTTTGCCGACCCTGACTTCATGGCATCTCATATCTCGTTTTGGAATGATGTCTACGGTTTCAACATGCGGAGCATGCTCACGGGTATATATGATGAAGCGCTTGTCCGTAGCGTGCAACCATCGACTATCCCCGGAGACTCTTCTGTCTTCTTGCCACTCCCGCTGCATACAATCACTGTCGAGGAACTGTCTTTCTTGAAGGAGTTCCAGGTTACCTTGAAAGAGGACGTTGACTCGCTTGATGGCTGGGCTATCTGGTTTGACATATTCTTTATGCCGTCCAGAGATTCCCCTATTTCGGACAACGCCATTCCTTCGGAAATGCAAAAGAAAGGCTTTGTTGCTTTCACTACCGGCCCTGATGGCCCAGAAACTCATTGGCAACAAGGCATCCTCCTCATCGACCACGGGAAGAAGAAAGCTCTTCCTTTGAAGAAAGGTCAGACGATTACCGGAAAAGTTGGCTACCAAAAGAAATCAAAGGAATCACGGTCTCTGGACATCTCCATCGAATGGAATGTTCAAGAGGCTGAAAAGGGCGCCCAGGAATGGAGTTTGCAGTGAGGGACTTCGACCAAAAAGTTTTGCTTGCCTTTTGGCCTAGTTCGTTCTTTCTGCTACTATACGGCATCTAGAAAGGCATGTTTGATAGACAGCTGTTAGAAAAGTAATCCAATCATTCATATGTCATCTGGTGGGTATCACAATTGTAGGATGTAATCACAAATAATGGTTGAAAATGGAAAAGGGAAAGAAAAAAAGAAGAGCTTCCGTTTCGAATCTTCATGTGTGCCTTAATGCCGTATTATTCGCGATGTGAGCGTCTGTTATGGTCACCCCGACTACGGCTGCGATCAGTACGATGGTAACGATGGTGACGGCGATGCGAATATCCATCCGAGTGAGAGCCTTTCTTACTCGAGCGATCTCGGCTTGTGTGACGGCCATGGCGATGATGACGATGTGCTCTTCGATCTCTGTCCTGTGAAGCATCGAGCTGGAAATTCTCAAGGCTGTCTGCCGACTTTGACCTTCGCCTGCGATGGCGCAACCGATGTTTCTCTTCCAACTTCAAAGCTTCCAATTCTCGTCTCCTTTCTTCGTCCCACTTCCTCCTTTCATGCTCAACCGACTTTAGCTGGCGAACACCTTTCTTCATCGCCGCAAGTGGATCATTGGCATCAATCCGAGCCTTCTCCCTCTCTCTTCTCATGGGATCCTCATTCCCCCAGACATCTTTCCCGGAAATGGAGTCTGGAGCCATGGCTTCAGTTCCTGAAGATGAATACCAGGGTTTCTGGCCGACAGATTGACGGAACCCCGCCGCATTCGAGAACCGCATTGTGTATTGATCTTCATATGCCTTTTGCCTCTCGGCCGATTCTTTTTCGGCTTCTGGGTTCTTCTCCGTACGTTTATGTGACGGTTGGGAAGGAAACAGGTCAATATGACCAGCACTATCGTATAGCGGCGCATCGCTAGATCGAGCGGAAGTGAGTTCCTCTCGTTTCGCCAGCGCAATTTGTGCATCCTCTTGAGCAAATCGAATATCGCGATCCGTATCATTTTCGCCAGCTAAACGTCTTCTCTTTCTATACCTTGAAGTGTCCTCTACATAACTCTTCCTATTATGTCGGGAGACCGGCGAAGGAGACCGTGGGGGAGGTGGTGGGGTAGATGGTCGTTCGCCACGAAGGATTTGTATTCTTCGCTCGGCATCAACTTCCTGCATGCGACGCTCTTGTTCCTCCTCTCGGGCTTGCGCCTGTGCCTCATCGCGACGGACGCGGGCAATGTTCTCCGGGTTGTAAACGTTCCATGACTTCTTACCTAAAAGGTGACTGGGTGCAGTTAGTAAAAAGGAAGGAAAGAGCATGGATAATACTAACAGAGGCATTCTGGATGGAATGGATAGAAAACTGCTCGCTATTAAAGCATAGTAGCATGTGAGAAGGCATTTGTTAATCGCGGAAACAGTGATAAGGAAGGCGGAGAGTAACCATCGGCAGAAACGGGGGTTGGCGGGCCGATGCGGCCAATGAGAGCCAAGGAGGTAGGAACTCAGCCTTTATGATAGAGTCCAGCCTGTCCCCACGCCTTGCCCTGCCGCCACTTCTTTACATCTCACTATTATCTCTGCTAATTATTTTAATTGAAGTACTCGTGGCCTAGTACCTGGTCAGACCAATATCTTTGTCTCTGTTTGACGTGAAAGCTGCCGGCAGCGTTAACCTGTTTGCTTATAAGAGCTTCACTTCATCATAATATTTCACTCTTAGACGGTCATCACATATCGTTATACGTGCTCTGATCTTCCACTGGTCTATCCACGATCATATGAAGCAAGATGTTTAACCGCAATAACTTTTCTATGCCTTTCGGGTCTCGGCCCTCTCGCGAAGACGGCCCCAACCCGAGCCAGGGACCTCCTCCGTATCCACGAAGAGAATACAACACTAACCCTGCGCCTACGGGTGGTGTAGGGTATGAAGACCGCTCTCATCCGCCCGACTATGACACTTTAATGACTGACGCTTATAATATTTCAAGGGGATATGGAGCACCGATGGGAAGGCCTAGTCAACCGCCACAGATGCCCCCGAGAGCTCCGGTTGGAGGAAGCTCGGGGAGAACCTGGACCTTGCGCCCCGCGAAGAGTCCCGATAATAATTACACTTTTGGTAACTTGTAAGCTCAGCTCCAAAGTTTTCGGCCGACGGACAGTTGACATGGTCTAGAGTTGCAGTTTCGCCGCAGGATTTCCCGCCCACGCGCGATGGGCTCGACCTTTTCCTTCTTGTAAACGATCTATATGTATTTTCCGCGCGCCCCTATGATGGCTTTCCGCCGGGTCATATCAGCATGTCGGATCCTCAGCGGACGTGGGCTAGAGTTGCTTTCACAGACTCTGTCAATGTACAGATTTACGATCCGTTCAGTCAAGGCGGGCAGGCATATATCGGTTCCACGGATATTGAAATCGGGTTTGCTGGAAAGAAGAGAGTCGAAACTCCCTACGACCAAGACGAGTTGGGCAGTGCTGTGGTCAAGGTAGCTCCCCAGTAAACTCGAACTACCTAAATTGTGGTAGACTAACTAAGGCAGACCTTTGAAAACCAAATATTTGCCCCTGGCCAGAAGATTCTAATGGACCATAGAAGCATTCCTCTTATACTAACGGTCAAAACTGTTCAACGTGTCGACCTGAGCTCCGAGAAAGCTGATCTCTCCAGCGGTCATGTAGAGACCGACCCTAGTGCCAGGGGAATACTCACAAGGCATTCCCAGATCAACTTTTTCAAGGATGCCCGCACTGGTATCAATTTGAAGGCGTCAAACCGTCGACCAGCTGCCAACTCTATCATTCAGCCTGACTTCAAATTCGAGAACATGGGTATTGGAGGTCTTGATGCAGAGTTTAGCACAATCTTCCGCCGTGCATTTGCGTCTCGCATTTTCCCTCCAGGTTTAGTTGAGAAACTAGGTATCCAGCATGTAAAGGGCATGCTGCTTTATGGCCCTCCAGGAACTGGTAAAACGTTGATTGCCCGGCAAATCGGCAAGATGTTAAACGCAAGGGAACCAAAGATTATCAACGGTCCTGAAGTGCTAAATAAATATGTCGGCCAGTCAGAGGAAAATATTCGAAAGCTTTTTGCCGATGCAGAGGCTGAGTACAAGGAGAAAGGCGAGGAAAGTGGGCTTCACATCATCATTTTTGATGAGCTTGATGCTGTTTGTAAGCAGCGTGGTAGTGGAGCAGGCGGTGGCACAGGTGTAGGTGATAGTGTGGTGAACCAATTGCTATCAAAGCTCGATGGTGTCGACCAACTTAACAACATCCTCCTTATTGGTATGACCAACAGGAAAGACATGATCGATGATGCGCTACTGCGACCTGGTCGTCTTGAGGTCCATATGGAAATTTCCCTCCCGGATGAGAAGGGCCGAGCTCAGATTCTCAAGATTCATACCCAGAAGATGAGGGACAACAACGTGATGGATGTGGATGTTAATCTATCCGAGCTAGCATTGATGACCAAGAACTTTTCGGGTGCCGAGATTGCAGGACTTGTCAAATCCGCGTCCTCATTCGCCTTTTCCCGCCATGTCAAGGTTGGAACAATGGCTGGTATCAGCGATGACGTGGTAAACATGAAAGTTAACCGAGGTGACTTCCACAATGCTCTTGACGAAGTTAAACCTGCGTTTGGTGTGTCAGAGGAGGAACTCTCAAGCCGTATTCAGTACGGCATCATCCATTACTCCGATCAGATTAACGAAATCTTAAGGGAGGGTCAGCTCTTTGTGAAGCAGGTCGGGGAATCGACACCTTTGTTCTCCGTCTTGTTGCACGGTCCAACCGCATCAGGAAAGACTGCGCTCGCAGCGCAGATTGCCATTGACTCTGGTTTCCCCTTTATCAAACTGATCAGCCCTGAAGATATGGTCGGCTTTAGCGAAATGGCTAAGGTTCAATATATCAGCAAGATATTCGATGACGCTTACAAGAGTCGTACCAGTGTGGTGGTCGTCGATAACATCGAAAGAATCATTGATTGGGTCCCAATCGGTCCTCGGTTTAGTAATACTGTTTTACAGACATTAATGGTCTTTTTGAGAAAGCAGCCGACCAAGGAGCGGCGATTGTTGGTTCTGGCAACTACAACCCAGAGAGCTGTACTGAAACAGCTGGATGTATACAACTCATTCAATTCTGATATCATGGTCCCGAATGTCATGAAGTGTGCTGAGTTGGAGTACATCATGAAACAGTCGGAGGCGTTTGATGACCAGGAAATTACCCAGGTGTTAGGAGCGATTGGGGGTATCGACCAGGCCGATAAGACCCCTAAAGAGAAAGTCATCGGTGTCGGTGTCAAGAAAGTGCTGTTGGGCATTGAGACTGCCAAGCAGGATGCTGATAAGGTTGAACGGTTCGTGCGTGTTATTGACAGGGCCATTGAGGAAGAGCGGAGTTTCGACTAAGGCTTTCTCTTTCTCTCACATGACTTGTTCTCAGATGAAGTGGAGGTCCTTTAGCTGTTGGATACCCAAGTATGTGACTGTATTAGTAGAATAGTATTTGTACTTGGCAAGATTGGCAAGGAAACAAAGTACCTTAATATAATGTGACCCTTACCGTGTTCCCGCATAATGTATTCCATGCATTCACTCGCAATCATCTGGAGCTCCAACCTCCCCCAAACAAACGAACGAGCCACAAATTCTTTCTCCTTTTCATAAACCTGGCCTGTGTCAACGTCGCCTATCTTCTGGCTATTCTAAAAATAAGACTAGTTCCTATGAGATAAGGCTTAAGACCGAGACCGTCGCCATGCCTTCCCATTACACACCAAAACGCATCCTTAAGAAACAACTCTCTCAGCAGGAACACAGTCACATGGAGGATTGTGCGCCAGGAAACCTAAGCGAGTATGGCAACATTGAGAGCGATGCCCCCGTCTTAGCAAAGCATCAGGCTCCGAGCTCGAAACCTGTTAAACAAGGAGGGTATACAGCCCCGAACGGAACTCATCTTTCCACCCACGAACTAGCTAAATTGTCAAATGGCATTGAAGATTTGGAGTCGAAGAGGGTGACATACTTTCAGCCTTGCTTCATTGAGGATCCCTGGAAGGATCTCCAATCTGTGAAGATGAAATTCAATACGCGTTATTGGTGAGTCCTTCTCTCGTAGCCACGCATTCCTGTTGGTTCTTTTCTTGTCGCACATCACGGCGTTTGAATAGGCTCAAGCTAATAGCGGCATCAGACGCAGGCTCTACATTACAATCTGTCTGTGCCTGCTTGACTGGGGGGTCACTCGAGTTTTGTCATGGCCGGAGGGGATAGGGAGGATTAGAACTCATTCAAGGTTTAGACAGACTTACTTTTTGCAACAAAGGTCGTTACCTGAGAATGGGACGTGCACCCCCCTTGTAGAGATTACCGATCATCAGCAGTTGAGCGCGCGTGGTTGGGCAGATAGGGCATGCATTCTAATGTGTCATAGTGGCTGTATTTGCTTCTACAAAGTTACAAGGAAGTCTTGAAATAATTCAGGAATCCTAGAGGGCTCACTGGTTTAAGATTTTACTTGCTTCTGATGTTCTGAGGAGAACCCGCTGTGGTGGACTTTCTCTTGACATTCAAATATGCCAGGGGGCCTAGCTTTTGCCCCCTCCTGAAACACTGTTGATGCAAGCTCGCAAATCACTGCTCACTGAAATACTAAAAGCAAAGTAAAAGATCCTTGTATAATTACCTCTCTCTTTCTCTCGTTCCTCCTTTTCTTTTTTATTCTGTTATTGTGAACAACATCCGTGTTCTTATTGCCCAAGGTATTTCATCGGGAGCACACACGATATTCTTTCATCAATCTTTGGATACGCGGATTTGATTGGAGCCTGACGGCTAAGGTATGAACCCTATTTCTTCTTGCTCTAAACATTCTACCTTCATGGCCATCCACCCCCTAGCGAACTATGACTCTACAACGGACCCTCCCAATTGAGTTACTTCTCTTACATGAAGAAGGCGTTACCCTCTCCGAGCTAGTGGGGAGCCGCTGCAAAATACCAGTCAACCATCTTATTTGATGTATACAACTAACTACTACCAGCCGATTACTCCCGGTCCAACGTTAACTCTTACAACAGGGGTGCAGATAAGCTACAGCACGATCATGTTACATCTATGCATCCAGACGAGTTTAAGTTAACGGCCTAACCCCCAGGGGCACACATTCCACGTGGGGTGCAGAGATCGCTGCCCAAGACCCCTGAAGTGTACTAGACCCAGCGCTGGCATTGGCTCCTTCAGGCTGCACGCCGACCCGCAAAAGCGGCAAGGGAAACCGAACTAAAACGGAGGGTGGAGCGGACGAAGGCGGACAATATGTCCGCTGGCGGAGTGGGTCGGCGGAACAGTGGGAGGTAAGCAGCCTGCCGACTCCCAACAGGCCAACCGAGACACCATTTAGGGAAGGGCATGAGGTTGTCCATTCGTCGTGGCATTTCGGCAATCCCTGACTGAAATCCATATGAGCCGCCGCTGCCTTGCAAATACGTATTGCTGCCCTTGAACCCCTGGTATGCAATCCGCAATGTGTCAGGGGGCCGTGCCACAGTCCCCTACAGGCACCCGCACAGATTGACTCACATGACCGGAGCTGGGGGTGACCTTGTGATGTGACCGTCTCCATGGGGCTGGAATCCCAGGCGCACGTGGATCGGATGAGGGAACCGGCTCCCTAACCTCCTCCGTAGAGTTAACGACAGCGACTCAAATTTCAAGAAAAATCCCGAGTGAATTCCATCAAATAATATCGCTACCGGTAAAAAGACGCCCAATATACAAACATTGCGAAAGTGTGAAAGACCCCATATATACCATCCATAAACCTCACGGATCCCAAACAACTCGATGACGAGATAAGCAAGCACACCTGGCCCAAGTTCTGGAAGCAATTTTCGCGGAAAATCGTTACCGCAATAAAACGAATTATCCCCCAATAGCCAAGAAGGAAGAGAAAAGTGAACAAAAGGTGGACATGAGCAGCCGTTCCCTGCAACGAGTTCAGTAATCGTCGTCATAAGTATACTTCTTCGTCGCTCGTCGGTATTCGTCGGGATGCACAGCCTCAGCTTTTGCCTTCAACGCACTAGGTTTGAAAGCCACATCAGTATTTCGCAAACAAACTCAGCAACGTACATTCGGCCTCACAACATCTCGAGCCACTACTAGTCAGTAGCCAGTGTTGCCAAGAACAAAACGACCAGCGGAGAGCAGATTCCACTTGGCGGAGCGGAGTCCCGCCAAAGCAGGATGTATGAGCTCAAATGAAGCGGAAAAGGCATTAAAACTTACCTCACTCGCTTCTGTGCCCATTCAAGATCCCTCTTAGTCTCCCGGCTACTTTGATGCCATCAGAGAAGTTGGCACGTACGCCTTGCAGTCGTCGCTGGGCGAGAGCTTGCAATTCGAGAAGTTCACGTTGTTTGGCATTCAACTGTCCGGAACTATTTTCATTACCCATTAGCACACCGATAATACTCTCTGCATTCAGGAAGCATTGCTCCTGCTTAACAATCAAGTCACGAGCGGCCTCCGTTCGTCAAGGTATCTGCGGCTACTCACGCTTGTGCCTGTCTTGCCAGCCCTTTATCCAATGGCGTGGGGTCAAACACGTTCTGCATGCGGTCACTCAAGACATCAACAACGTCGACACCAGAGTACGACGCAGAACTCGACTCGTAGTCGCCACTAATGCTCCCAGAGCCGTAGCTGAAGCCGGCAGATGTGCGACTGCCCGCAGTCGTGCTGGTATCAGATACATCTGGTGGGGATCCTGAGACACGGCTGATAGGATATAGATTAACAGGAGCGGGTGCCTTGGAGGGAACATTGATAGGAAGCGGGGGAGCTTGATAATGCTGAGTCGCCATTGTGGTAGGTTGTGTTGCTCGAAGAGTCGAAGCCGGCAGGGTATGCAAGACGTCAATGGTTTATGGACAAGGCTAGAGGGTAGGCACAAGAGGCAATATCCGCAGTTAAAGGAAGTTATGTGAGTATGGAATCTGCCTGACTTGCACCGAATGGTGGAGGATCAAAGTGGAACAATCTTGTCAAGACCGGGGATATGATAAGAAGAATAGGGCTGGGGAAGTTAAGAAAGGAAGAAGGAGAGGAAAAAATGGTGACTGAAAAGACGAGGCTTTATATATCCCTCACCGGAGAGTCTTCCATCCGGCGGATCAGTCTTTCATGAGGGCCATGACCTGTCTAGGGCGAGGGGGTACGAGTCATTCATTGGGCATTGGATTATCCCGGGAGCCTTTTTTCCCTCCCATTAGGCCTCACTCTCCCAAGACCCCCCAGTTCTCTCCAATCCCGACCCCTCGATTCCGCTCATCTCTTGATTTCCGGCTGCCCATTCGCCCCTGCTCCCGAATCGACCCCGCTCTGGTGGGAAGACCAAAACTTAAGGAAGGGATATAGATGGCCGGAGACTGGTCCAGCCCTCGCAAGTCCTCTCCACTCGGACTCTCTTCCGCGCTCCCGTGGCGACATTTGGGCATTTAGTCTTTTTTCGGATCATTTCCCATTCTTCGGTGTCAATTGGAAGATGAGGGACAGACAGCTATAATATATAAAAAGGGAGGAGCTGGGTGGGATTGTGTTGAGATATCACAACTGGTCTATCTTGGCGCGTGAGCGGGATTTACTTGCGTGTAGTCTTCCACACTACCCAATCTATTTTCCTTTCCTGCAACAAATTTTTTTTTGTTTTGTTTTTTCCTTTTCACATTCCCTCTGGAAATCGTTTCCTACCCATGTTTTAATCCTTCTTTGTGAAAATTCCAATTCTGGGAGGTTTTCCTGGGTCTTACTCCCCTACTCTGCATTGAGTGATCGACCATACAGGGTGTCACGAATATTAGGAGGCTGGGTGGCTGGGCAACATGGATGCTGAGACCCAGGGCTTTATTCAATAGCAGGGAGATTGTGACAAAAAAAAGTTGCATGGCTACGGAGTTAACTAATTGCGACTTACCCCATAACCGGTGTCGGTCAGCGGTGACTCCCTTGGGCATCTTAGCAACTTGTTTTTCCTGCTGGTTTTGGTTCTGTGAGGTGGTTGTTGAAGTCCTTACCGTGACACGTTCCGGTGGTATCCTGTTTGGTCTCGATTGGTTGAGCATGTGAGGTCGGGATGGTAAGGGGCAAAAGGTGAGATTCGCGACATTCGATCGTTCCGATTGCGTGTGTACGTGACTTTTTGTTCCTCTCCCTTTTTTACTCTTTTCTCTTCTTGGGACCACCCCTGAAAAATTTGCCAGGGACTGAAACCTGCCCGGGGAAAGCAGACGCCAATGAAGCCGCAGAATTTCGGTTACGGATTGCCATAGAGTTATAATCATGGCATTAGACATCAATGTGTGATCTGGAAAGGAAAAAGAAAAATGGGGGGGAAGGATGAACAGAGACAGAAGCAGGGAGTTCATTCGAGATCGATCATGTATTTCGGAATTCCACGATAGCTTCAACTCACATCTACCCGGAAGCAAAAACTTGAGATTACCGAGGTGGCATGGTACGACATGGAATGATACCCTGAAAGTCATTGGGGGACAGTGTGAAGTGAGAGTGCAGGGTCTTCTTCGTGCCGCTGAACATACAACGAGAAAAAGCAATGAGTGCCCAGGAACAGAACTGAAACCATCACAGAAAGCTGCCTTTTCATGGCCTTCAATTGTCCTCGTTCCTGTGAAAATCTCTGACACAATGAAGCAGGTCGGCAGCTAAACGGCGACAAGCGTACTAAACGCCGCCGAATGTGGGAAGCTCCAGGGCAAACGGGCCGGGGTGGACCGTGAACTCGCTGAGCGCAACACGCCCACAACGTGACCGGAAGCGATAAGTGAGCTAATGGAGCCTTGGGAATTGTCAGGACCCCTTAAGAGAATGGGGCAATTTGATGTTTTTTGATTTATTTGGTTTCAAGAGGCGCAGCCCTCCGTGGAGGGCCCCAGGAAAGGCAGTATTAAAGAGAGGGAAAAAAAATGAAAGTTAAAAGGGAAAGCGAAGGATGAAGATCATCTCACAAACAGCCATGCTGACAGACTAATCCAAACGGCTTGGCACTCATTCCCTCATACATGGTGAAATCCGGCAAAAGCAAGCACCAGTCATACTTCTATTATGGTGACATCCACCAGGTCGTCCGACGGTCTTACTGGCCTCCGATTTCCCGTGGCTCTAATGCAAGTCTCGTCATGGCTTTGCCGTTGTTGCCTTACCAGTTAGGCCGCTGTCCTCGACCCGTTGCCAACCTGTCCGAGCACAATGAAGATCCAGAACTTACGCAAGGGAAATGAAGCAGGAACAGAGCTTTCGACCCTCAGAGCAGCCCGACCGGATGGCAGGGTGACACAGCGACCCAACGTACCATCAATGAGCCGGTGATTGGGTCAATTCGCTTGGGATCCTCATCCCCATTTTCTCTCCCAAGATCTACGGTCTCTCCCTTTTTGTCTTCCATTTGTTCCCTTTTATACGAAGAAAAGAAAACAAAAACAAAAAACAACACTCCTACTTCTCATCCTTTTTGTCCGTCAAGACTTGATCACATGAAGCCGATATTTAAAAACTCCACCATCAACGACGGAAGTCTCGCCATAGCCACTCAGAAACAACGACTGAGTCTCACCAGCCCTCTCTGGCTTGCATCAGCCTAGTGATGCAAGATGTTCGACATCCGTCTGTGCAGTAGAGTTGACGGTATGCCTTGGTCTAATCGTGGGTGGGTGATGCATCGGGGATTAGGGTCTCTGACCGTGTCGAACTATGGGCCTTTTCCGTAGCGTCGATTGTGCCCAACGACCAACCGTTCTGTGCTAGGATTTAAACCAGTGAGGAGAAAAAAGGTACGTTGCCTCTTCTCACTAAGAACTCAATACGGTGCCCGCTGGTTTCCAATGATCACCCAACTCGACCCTCCAAAGATGTTCGTGGGATGCAGCGAATGTGGGGTTTTCGCCTATCGCTCGTTTGCTTACCTTCGCTCACCGCCACTAAAATTACAAGTCGTTCAATGGTTTCTCATCAACCAACCGGCTTTTTGACTCGTTGGGCCTCGAGCCCAATTTCGGTCCCTTGGTCACCTTCCTTGGCCCGGTTTGGCCTTTTCTAGAACCCAACAAGATTGGACCCGGACTATTCAACAATAGGTCCTCCTGTGGACCGGCCATCCATGCTTATGCCTAACATGAAGCCTGGGGAAGCATTCGCTTTGAGTCGCTCAAGGAGCCGTCGTGTCGTCATCCGTCCTTGGGCCCTTTGATGCTCCCCATCAGCATCGATCCGGTCTTCACTCGGGTGTGGGAGAACTTGGCCTTTCCTCGTGTCATCACTTTCGCTCCTTGCTCGCTACGCCGTCATATTAAGGTCGCCAAGACTAGCCCTCGCTTCGATTCTCAGGTCCTATTTTATCCTTCTTCGTCCCGTTGTCATTCCTATTCAGTCCTGCTGGTTTGCATCGTCATATGCCAACACCGTCCTGATCAGCCGCATCAGTCTCCTTATTCCCAATTTGGGATGACAACATTGACAACAGCACATTTTCAACTAATCCTGAACAGCTTGTTGACCCCGGTCGTACAAAAAAAAAGGCAGTCTGAAGGAGGCACCTGACATGGAACGCATGGAGAATCTTATACTATCGCCAATAACGACGATCCTCCGACTATCCGACTACAATGCGCCGATTACATCACCGTCTCCTGCACTCTCAACTGCTCCAAAGCAGTCAATAGGCCTATTCTCGTTTATCCTTCTAATTGTTTGTCCTGTCACCTGAACTCTGTGTAGTTACACAGGCAAGGGATACATACGTTACTCATGCCCGGGACTTCTTTTTTTCTTTTTCTTTTTTCTTTTTCTTTTTTCTTTTTCTTTTTTCTTTTTCTTTTTTCTTTTTCTTTTTTCTTTTTCTTCTTTTTCCTCATCTTGTTAGATTCTCTCACCACACGATCCATCGGCCACATGGCGATGACGTCCAGAAAGCAAGGGACTATCGAACTAACTAATCACGGTGCAGGGCGCAGCTCATCTGACATGTATCATCTTGTCTACCTCGGTAGATAGTATATAATGCTCGGTCTACTGGCGGATACTCCCAGATATGCATATCTGCTTCAATCAGAGATCAAACCTAAAATATATATGTAGGTGGTGTGACCATCTTCTGGACCTGAGTCACACGCTACTAAATTTTACCAAGCATGAAAACAGATACAGAGAATTGGTCTGATGTAATGGAATTAAAGTATATCATATATATGCTGTCATCTGATCAATGACCATCCAAGTCCTGAAGCAGAGTGACAATTCCCTTTCATATCCAAACGGCCCTCAGCCCATGCTAGAACAGGTATCTCAATCCGTGTATGAATTATCTACTAAGAAGGCAAAGGAACAGAAAACATTGGGAAAGGGTAGAGAAAAGTAGGGGTGGGGAACGCTCTGTTATCTGCACATGCAATTCCAGAAGTTAAATATCATGCTCATAATATGGTATCGGGAAGAGAAAATAAGAAAGTAAGAAACAAAAGCAAGATAATGGCGGTTTGCAAGAGAAGAAAAGGTAAAGACGATTGAGAATTGCTCAACGAAACCGATAACAGACGCCACGCCACGAACGAGGTCGATGGTCCAAAGAACAACAAACCTATAATTCCGACCCCCGTAATGCTGAAAGGTATCAATCAAACCTGAATGCTCAATGCAGATGCGTAGTGGAAACCCGCAGGTGAAAAAAGAGAAGCGGACAATGAAATAGACTCGAAAACCAAAATTCACGACTCGAAAACATCCAAAGACGCCTTTCCGTCCGACGGCTTGTACCAAGCCAAAACCCCAGCCCAAAATTGAGAAAAAGTGGAAC